CCCCCTGGCGCGGCCCGGCGGGCGGGCGGGCGGGCGCCCGGCGGGCCGCGCTCGCTGCTCGCTGCGGTAGCTGCTCCGAGTCGTATTTCCACATTCCAGAAGCCAGCCGAGTCCCTACCTGTTGAACCGCGATCTCCTTTAGACAGAATCCGTCTCTGCCTCCCTCGATTGTGGGTGGGGGGACTGGGTGACCCAGAGGGAGTGCGGTGCGCCTCACGGGGTCGCCCACCGCCTGGTGCCGCCGCGCGCCCCTCGCACCTGCCGGCACCCGCGCCCCGCGCTCCTACTGTGCGCCACCGTCCGAAAGCCCCTCTGAGCCATGGTGAAGGGCCGCGAGCAGACGCGCAGGAGCGGTGGGTTCCGTACTCGGAAGGCGCGCGTCCCAGGTGAGAGGTAGAAACACGATCTGAGAATCATCTCTTCCATCAACCTTACATCCCTCTCTCCTCCGCCATTTTACAGATGGAGAAACTGAGGCCCAGAGCCGTCAGAATCCAAAGCTGGCGGCTTCAGAGGCAAGGCTGGGAGCCCCTGGTCCTAGCCTCGGCCCTGCAGGCCTGGGAGGGCGTGTCTGTGGTTGCTGGTGGCTCTGTTTATTGTAGGTCCGTGGGTAGGCTGTGTCCCTGGGTGTTTGTTTATGGAGGTGAGGGGTGCCAGCGTTGGGCCTGCTGGGTGGGGGTGGGGAGGATAGGCCACTGTCTTCTGGACTCTGCGGGCCCTGCAGTGATCCTCCTGGGCCCACGGAGGGGTCAGCAGCCCTCAGTGAGGCTCTGTCCCTGCTGCCTGGTTCTACCAAGGTCTTTCCTTCCTGCTCTCTGTGGGGCAGCCCTAGAGTTCAGAGCTTTTGCTCTCCCAGGGTTGAGGGCTAGGGAACTGAGCACAGGAGGCCAAGTCACTGTCCACCTGGAACAGTGGCACAGCTGGGGTGGACTGGCTCTGGTCTCCACTCCTCTTCCTAACATTAGTTCCTCAACAGGAGTCCTCAGAAAGCAGCCCCTCCCCCACTAGCAGGAGAGCTCTGTGCGTCCCACCATCCCCAGCAGAAGGAGCTAAGGGCCAGGGCCAGCCTGGCCCACCGTCTGGCTCCAGGGCTTCGAGGTCTGCTTGACTTTCCTAAGTCTCCTGCACCCTCTGTAAGTGGAGTTGCAGCTTTGGCCACTGTGAACAGTTCAGAGCAAGACCCCAATGTTTTGTCTCCCTGTGGCCCAGCCTAAAATCCAGGCACCTGCCTGCAACTTTCTTCTGGGACTAGATAAGAAGGGAGGCAAAGACCAAGTGTCCCTCTGTGTGGCCCTGGCTCTGCCAGAGCCCTGGAGAAGGAATTCCTCTCCCTGGTGTGTCCCCCTAAAACACATACTTCCCCCACTCCTGGGTTTCCAAACGTGGTCTCCAAACCCTCTGTAAAATGACAGCCAGGAAAGCCGGACAGCCCTGGGATCTATTAAGGAGAGGGTAGTAGGGACCTGGCTAGCCCCTCCCCAGAGGCTCTGCCCTGCTTTCTTTGCAAATTATCTTGGCTTCACTAGGTGAGTAGGAAGGGGAAGCTGGGCCCACATGTGACCTAAAGGGTTAAATGACTAAATGATCAGCAGCTCAGTAGCTCAAGAGGTTTGGGGTGGGATTAACAGGCTGGCTGACTTTGTCCTCCCCTCACTCCTGGCCAGTGCCTTGGGTGGTGGCTCTTTTCCCAAGTATCCTCCTCTATAAAGACAGAAATGCAGTGATGGTCGATGCTCCTTCAGTGCCGCTGAGGGATCAGTCCCAGAGGCCTTTGCCCTGGTAGTGGTGGTGACGTGTATCCCAATAAACACCTGTGGCATTGATAAAGCCTTTCTTATGGTTATTGACCATGATATCCCTGGGCAACAGCCCAGGGCAGAGGCAGCCTGAGGCACCTCCTCCAGGGGGTTCCTGCAGGGACGTGAAGACCTGAGGGGGTACTGCAGCAACACACCGGTTCCCCACTTGGGGACCCCTTTAAATGATGTATTCCAGGACTTTGGAATCCCAGGAGTTGGGATTTTAGGATCATTAAAGTTCTAACCCCAAATCAGAGATTGTAGGCACTGAGGGGTATTCTGTGATCTCAGCCCCCTGAGCTCACCCCTGGGTGCTGCATGTCCCTCATCCCCCCCCACATGTCCAACACTCATAGGCCCCTCAGCAGTGGGACCAGAACTCAGGCCTCCAAACCCCAGAACAGATGTGTCTTGGATTCTGAGCAATTTCAAAACATGGTGACGAGGATCTTCTCCAGGGTCATTTCTGAATGGAATAACCTAGAGCCTGGGCCCACTGCACCAAGGTCACTGAACTTCCAGGATCAGCCCCGTCCCAGGCCTGCCCTTGCCTTTGTGGCCAGCTGAAGCAGGGGGCTGGAGGAGTTGGGAACCAGAGAGATGAAAGTGGAGAAGGTGCTTTCCTGCTGGACGTGTGGGACGAGTCTCCCTGCTAGGCTGGGAGGCCAGCACCACTGGCCACATGGCACAGAGCTCCCCTTTACTGCTCTGCCTCCTCCCGGCAGCTGACAGGGTTTCCGACCCTCCAGTGGGAGGGTTCTTAAACAGCCAGGTTTGGCAGACAATAGGAGGTGGTACCCTAAATCTGAGTTCTAGGCTTTAAAAAGCTTACTGGAAGGAGGAGGATTGTTTTGAAAAGTCTGTCCTTGTGGTCTGCTCCACCCCACACGTCACAACCAAATCCTCAAAGGAGAGCAAAAGATGAGGGGTGGGGACCTAGCGTTGGGGGCCCCAAGTGTAAAGAGAGCAGCACCTGTCAGGCTCTCCCATTGGCAGCCTCCCCACCGAGGCCAACGGCAGGGCTACCGGCGCTCTGCAGATACCAGGCTCCAGCACCAAAGCAGGCTGGCCTGGCTGAACCTCCCCTAACTGGTGGCCGTCGGGAGAGAGGGTAGCACACACGGCGCATCTGTGCACTCACACCTGCGCCCTCCCAGACCGCCCACGCTCCCGCAGGCGCATGCAGGCACATGCATGCACACACGAACACACGTTGCTGAGCACAGCCCCTAAGCGGAGCACACGCCTCCGCGCGGTTACCCTGAGGTGCCTTCCCCCAGGTGCGCCACACAGAGCTAGGCCAGAGTGGCGTGGCTAGCAGAAGGTGGGGGTGAGGGTGTCCAGACCAAGGCAACTTGGGCAAACCCTGGGGGCGGCTCCCGCCGCACGCTCGGGTCAGCCTCCCCTTTAAAAAAACCCGCCCGCGGAGGAGGCGGATGTAGGGGCGGCCCATCCAATGGCAGCTGCGCGCCTCGGGAGACTTGGAGACGTGAGCCAGAACGAGCGACAGAGCCGGTTCGCACCGACAGACCGACGGAGGGCCAGACAGCCGCAAGGCGAGCGGGCCGCTCCGGGCCTGACCCACCCCCGTACTCCAGAACCAGCGCCCGCCGCCGCCCCAGATCCGGCGCGATGCGCGGCCCTGGCGGCGGGGCACGGGCTACCACTGCCCCTGGGCCCGCAAGCCCTGGCCCCTAGCGCCCAGCGCCGTCGCCCTGTATCTGGGAGGGCCTCGGGGACCCCGGTCTTAGGTGGCGCAGGAGCCCTGCCGGTGGGGCCTGTTCAGCCCCGCCAGGCGCGCCGGCCCACCATGCTCCTGCTGTCGCCGCGCAGCGCGCTCCTCTCCGTCTATTGCCCGCAGATCTTTCTCCTCCTGTCCAGCGGCAGCTACCTGTGAGTGCCGCGGGCGATGAGCGGGGTGGGTGAGTGGGGACCCCCTGGCCTCCAGCATTGGAGCGGGGTGGGCAGGGGACACAGGGCGGGGCACGGAAACCTAGGGACTTTGGGTGGCTTTGCCGATCTAAGCTGCCTAGGTAGAGCACCTGGGAAACAGCTGCGGCAGTGAGAAGTCCCAGAGTTGGGGTCAGAGAAAGGGTGGCTGAGAGCAATACCACTGCCTGAATAGAACAGGCTGTGCGTACCAGCGCGAGGGCTGGGCTTAGCCGGGTTGCGCGGAGATTCCCTGTGCATCCCAGAGGAGTCCTGGACCAACCGGTACCCTCTCTCCAAAACCCACGCGGCGCACATGGCCATGCCACACTAGGGTGAGGTGCACGCACACACCCGCTTCCCGGGCACACGCACCGGTACACACGTGCACGCTGTGTCCCCCAGTCAGCGCCCAGGTTGACCCTTCCTGTGCCTTCCTGCGGTGCTGAGCGGCCTCCCCCTGGCCCTGGTCGACTCCTCACCTGGGGGCAAGAAGGGCGAGCAGCGTGCTAGGGCGGCTGCGGAGCACCACCTAGGATCAGGGCTCAGGGAGCTAGCGCACCATGGGCGCGTGTGTGCGTCCGGCCAGGCAGCACCCACCAGGCTACGGCAAAGCTCCGGATAGGGCCCAGTCCGGCCCAGCGAGCCGAGGGGGTGCGTCCGCGCAGCGGTGGCTTCTCCCGATTCCTAATGGGACGCATATGCTCTGGCCTCCGATTTAAAAAGAAGTTTGATTTATGGAACCGCCGTTTGGGGGAATTTAAGCTGGATGCTACTGATTAAACCTCAGAGCCAGCTCTCCTTCCCTCCTCCTCCCCTCCCCCGCCCCCTCCTTTACACGCGGGCCACGTCCGGGGTCGCTTAACGCGGCCAGAGGGGGCAGCCGCCGCCTTCCCGCTCCCTACACCACCCCCTTCCCCCGCGCGGCCACAGTCCTAATAAATCGCCGCGCCCCCACCCCCTTTTAATAAAGACGCAGCCAATTTCTCCTCCAGCTCCTAGGAAATTACTATCCTACCAGTTTTCCTTCTATAAATAGTCGCGCATCTTGAAACAAAAGTTCGCAACCGCAGCCAGATGCTGCGAGGCCCGTGGTTTCCCCGGCTGTGGGACATAATTACAAGGTCCGGGCAGAGAGAGCGCTCCAGGCCCGGCGGGCAGCCCCGGCTGCGGAGGCATCAGCTGGGGTGGGGTGGGGGGTAGCAGGCCGTCTTGGGCAGGGCTCAGGGCCCGGTAGGCACCGCCTGATCAGTGAGGACTTAGGCAAAGTACCCGGCCAGAGGTCCTGCTTCTCTTGTCCCTCCTGGGAAAACGGATCAACCAAGGGGGCTTTAGATCCGGCTTCCTGAGTCCATGAAACCTCCCCTCCCCAGAATCCTGGCATCTCAGTGTTCAGCCTTGCTAGAGATCCGGCAGCTACTCTGCCTGAGACATCATTTTTGGAGCTGGCTGGCTGAGGTTTGGTGTTCCTGGGGAGGTGTCCAGGGGTGGAAGCCAACGGCCTTCCAGGGGTGGTTTGGAGGCTGAGAGGAGTGGGTGAGCAAGGAACTCAGAAGCTGGGTGGGAGCAAGATGGGAGGGCACCAGTTGAGGGGCTCTCCGGCAGGTGGTGGCCAAGATACCCCCAGAGCTCCCAGATCCTGGGGGGTGGCTCCCCACCTCCCCGCCCGCTGTGCCAGGCCTGTACCCATGCTCTCCCCAACTGCACCGCGTGCTTTGTGGGCAGACATTCTCTTAAGGGAACTGCTTTACAAATGTTCCCGGGCAGTGCTGGGGTCGGAGTGCTGGGCTCAGTAGGACAGCCTAGGTCCCTGCCTCGCCTCAGCTGCTCCTGCCCCAGCGTGTGGGCCGGGTCTGCAGCTGCAGAGAGTGCTAATGTGGCATGGGTGTCCCTGGGCTTTCTCCTGCCCTCGGGGAGGCACAGGGCTGGCAGGTGTGTGAGATGCCCAGGTGGGCGCAGGGCCCGGGCAGCTCCAGGGAAGGCATGCCTAGTGCGGAGACCTTGTTTTGGGAACTTGGGAGAGGCAGCCTGTGTACAAGAGCTGTGGGAACCAGGAGAGATGAGGGGGTTGGGGCCTGTATGCCCTCAGGGGTCAGCCTGTGGGATCTGAGGATGCCGGGGCTAGGAGGGGCCCTGGGTGGAGGCTTCCTTCTGCTCCAGAGAACTTTCCAGAAGGCATCCCATTGCTCGATGGCAAACACTGGCGGACAGTTGATCCTGCCCCTTTCATCTGGGCTGCCCCCCAGCTCCCTGTGCTGGGCTGTGGTCCGCACACAGCGGATCCCAGACGCATGCCTGGGCCCCTGCCACTGATCAGGTTGGACGGGTGTGCTGGCCTGGAAGGGCCCTGAGCCCCCACCGGATGCCGAGTGTGGCCCAGCTGTGCAAGGCAGCTCCGGCCAGCCCTAGCCACCTCCGTGCTTGTCAGAGTAGGCGCTCCAGGGCCAGGGGGGTCCAGCAAGTGACCACAGGAGTGCAGGTGGGGGCCACAGGCCCCGAGAAAGCCTTGCAGTGCTGGGTCAACTGGCATGGGCGTCTGGCATAAGCCGGGCCCGGGGACCAGGCTGGGCCCCTGTCCTGGGCAGGTCCCTCCCCGTCTTGGCTTTCCTCTTCCAGATGTGGGGGTTGGTTGTGACAACTCCCCCAGGTCTTCCGGTGCAGCTTCTCATGGTGACCGCCTGCTCTGGGGAGCCGAGTGAGTCATGGTGACAGGGTGGTTACTCACCGACCACCTGGCTGTGGGGGGCGGGGGGCACTGGCCACTGCCTGCTAAGGCCGAACCTCTTCCTGGCTCCCACTGTGGTGTAGTTGGTGGTGTCCACTGAAGTCCCAGAGGCCCTGTGGGCATGGCCCTCATAGGGCGGGGTGCTGAATCAGACCCACTCGCATGGCGTCACGGCCTGTTGGGGGCAGGATGGAGCTGTAGGCTCCAGAGTGAACAGGTCACCCTTGGAGAGGGGCAGCTCAAAGTCTGGAGGGAGGCATCTGTCCAGGTATGGAGGGCTCTCTGGACCTCAGACTCCTTTTCAGTTATGGTGACAGGCTCAGCTCAGGCCCAGGTGCCCTCAGGATTGGAAAGCATGTGACACTCTGCAGCATGGTGGTCCGTGGCTGGGAAACCTCACGAAATCTTAAGCCCCAGGAACCTTGCAGACAAATGGAGCACACTAATCATGGAAACCCCACCACGCCCATGGCACCCTGGCAGTGGCCGCTTGGGCCCTCTGTGTTTGGAGGGCCACTGCTCCCTCCTGGGACTGTGGTCGTGTGGAGCTTGCGGAGGACAGACCTTTTCTAACCTGGCTTCCCACCAGGGGCACTCGGGTGACCAGATCTGGGTTCTCACTCCTGCTTCACCTCTTCCTGCCTCGATGTGTCCCAACCTTGCTGTCTCCTCTTTTGGGTGAGGATTGGGGTCGCACAAACCTTGAAGGGTGGCCCTGAGCACCCAGGGAGAAAATGCAGGGGAAGGTCTCGACCCAGGACGAGGGGCAGGGGGCAGCGAGGCTGGCCGCCGCAGCCCGGGGACCCAGGGGCTGCCGTCAGAGGGAGGTGATGGGCTCGGAGGGCTCTTGAGACGTTACCTGGACAGAGTTCTGAAGGATGGATAGATAGGAGTTGGCCAGACTGAATAAGAGTGTGAGAGAGACCCCCTGCAGCAGGCCCCCAGCATCTTACCAAGGGAGGCAGATTGGGTGCTGAGGTCCAAAGGAGGCCCTTTCCTGAGGCCCCCCAGCTCACCCAGATCTAGGCCCCTCACCTGTCCCCCATTGCCTTTGAAGGGACAGTCGTTCTCCCTGGGTAGCCCAGCTGGGAGAGGAAGTGGGTGAGGGCCCCAGGTGGCCTAGTCAGGCCTCAGAGGCCTGGAGGGGCTGGGCAGGTGGCCCAGGAAGGAAGTGACTTTTGAGGCACCTCTACCCAATTTCTGTTTCTCCAGTCACACACTTTCCTGGACCCTCTGGGGACTCTGCACAGAGCAAGTCACACTTGCTGCCCCGCCCCCATACCCCCTGAGCCTCTTGCCCCCCCATTCCCCCCTGAGCCTCTTGTCAGGGTCAAGGGCCAGGGCAGCACTGCTGTGGGTGCCGGGGAGCCGGAGCTCCTGTGAGGTCTGCACAGTGCTGTCATCTGGCCCCTGACGGTGGCAGAGGAGCAGCTGGGAGCAAGGGAGTAGCTGGGGTGGGAGTCTCCATCCCAAAGGCCCTAACCATCCTCCTCCAGGGCCAGGGGTGTGAGCAGAGCACCGCCCCTCTGCATCCTGGGGACAGTCCCTGGGCTCTCAGGCCTCTCCTTACCTCCTGGGCAGATAGAGGCTGCTGGGGGCTCCCTGGAGGCCTCCATTTCTCGTGGCCCCGGGTCCAGCTCAGATGGGGCTCTGCTCCCCTCACAAGGGGACAGGAGGCGGGCGCCCTCCCTTGTCAGATGAAACCCCGGCCCAGGGCTCCCTCAGCCTGATGAAAGGGTCATTGTGTGGCGCGGGCCGCCCGCTGGCCAAGGACAAAACCGCCGTTTGTCCTCCCGCCTTGGCGCGGGGCTGGGGGCCTCCCCTCAGGCTGGGGTGGGGTGGGGCTGTTACAGGTGCGCTGCCCCCTCCCTTCCCTTCCCTGCTTCCCGCTCAGCCTGCCAGCCCCTCCCCCAGGCATGTCGCCCACCCAGGGCATCCTTGCCCTCTGAGTGTGGACCCTGACTCTGGGCCAGGGTCGCTCCTGCCCGGGAGGTGGTGAGGGCTCCGGGCCTGCAGGCACCCAAGCAGGTGCAGGAGGAGTGGGGCCAGGGATGCGGGAGAGGCCCTGCCTGGGCACGGAAGCCGGCCTCATGGGCCAGCCCAGTCTCGGTGGCAGAGTGGCAGGGGGGCCGGACCCCTGGCCACCAGAGCAGGTGGCTGCGGAGCTGCTGGGGGTGCCCCACAGCCAGGGCTGAGGCCGCAAGTGGAAGACCCTAAAAGTGGGCAGCCCCCGAGTGTC